TGACTTTGTATGTGAGGAACTGTGGCCTGAGTGTCATCACGTCCTGTAGCAGCTGTTTCTCCTAAGGAAGGGAAGCTGCCAGAGGAAGAGGTTTTCCAGGACAATTCCCAATGAGGAAATTCAGGGCTGAGGTCACCAAGGAGCAGGAGCTCCCAGCCTGCCTTTTGCTGTTGGCATAGGTGGGAGTGACCCTTGCCAGAGCTTCCCTGTGCTCAGGGACCAGCACCCCTGCCCAGCCTGCACACACACAAGCACACACATATGCATGCTCAGGGTTTCCAGATGAAACCGTGTCCCAAAGCTCTATAGACAGGGGATGAGGCAGCTTATCTCAGGAAGTCTAATGCTGAATAATTAGTCCTCTAGCTGCGCTGCATAGCCCTGCAATTGTCTTTAAAAGGTGTTTGCCATTCACAGGAGGTGACATGGGGACTCCCAGGGGAGGAGTGGGCCACTGAAGTGGCCAGTCAGGAGCAGAACATAGCAGCGACACAGGCTCCTCAACACATGGCCCTGGCTGGGGGTGGGATGGCACGCTCCTCAGAAGAGCCAGGCCCCACCGTGGTCCCCGACTTCACGTGAAGCCTTGTGAGAAATGCCACCGTCCGTCCTGCAGTGGGTGAAAAACTTAGAAAAACTGGGTGAGGAGAAAGCAAATTACATTGACTTTGGGCTCCTCTGACACAGCCAGTAGTGTTTCCAGGCAGCCAGGGTCCTGCTATGCGGGCAGGCCAGGCTGTGGGGACGGCAGTCTGCAGCATCCTCCACTGGGGACAGCACCAGCTGGCCTGCCTCAGGGGCCGCGGGTCCATTTCAGACACTTCTGCCGGGTTTGGAGAAAGGAAGGAAAACAGGAGTTGGACAAGCTTGTGACCTTAGCTTTATTTTCTTCCTCTAATCAGCTGTATGAGATTGTCTTTAAAGTTTCCAAATAGAATTGTCCTCTCCCTCTTGCTAACGCGTGTGTATTCAGAAGTGTTGACCCACTTGGCTTCAACCTTGTGTGTCTCTCCAGAAAGAGAAGAAGGGCGGGCTGCTGAAACTCCTGGCCGGGGCATCCACCAAGAAGAAGCCACACTCCCCGCCAGCTGTCTCTCCGACCCACGACCCCCAGGTGGTGGTGGATGCCTTGCTGCAGGGCGCAGTGGGCCACGAAGTGTCCTTGCTGTCCGTCCACGGCAGGGCAGGGTCCTGCCCCATAGAGAGCGAGATGCAGGGGGCGATGGGACTGGAGCCGCTGCACAGAAAGGCGGGCTCCTTGGATCTGAACTTTTCGTCCCCTGCCCGGTATGCACCTCTTTCCATGGCTGCCATCCGCCCTGAACCCAAGCCACTGCCCAGAGAGAGGTAAGGAGCCCCTGCAGCCTCAGTGGCTGTGCTGTGGGTGGGCCTCTGTGGTCTGGAGCCAGTTGTGGGGAACAGGGACAGTGGGGCATCTCTGACGATGGGTTTACCAGACGCCCCTCATTACCCAGGTGCACCTGCTTCCTGAGCTTGGGCAGTGAGTGTTGGTGAAAGGAGTTTGGGAATTGGAGCATATTTTGAGTTCCGAATCCATCTGGTTCCTGAGTTTGGGATTGCCAGGGATTCCTTAGGAAGTTTGTCAGAACTGATGTGGTTCTGAGCACAAATAGTGAGAGATCAGATGGTAACGATCTGTGTCCCCCTCAACCCTGGGGGAGCCTGGAGTGGGACTGTGTGTCCCACCACAGGGCAGTTCTTGAGCTTCAGCTTACTCTGACATGGTAGCATTATAAATGTTACCCAGAAATTGGCTTCAAGGGGATACATAGTCCAATAAGTTGAACCATACAAAATTAATGATATTCGTTCATTTTTGACCCAAACAAGCAATTTCATAGAGTTTGGCCTAGAGTTTTACAGATCTGGAAACTGAGTCTAGCTGAAGTGACTTGACCTGCCAGGTCTTGCTCGGTGGATCCGCCCGTTTCAGTGATCAGTCCCGAGGGGCCCCGGTGATGGCTGGAGGTATTGCCGAGAGATGTGGTGCCTGTCAAATTAGGGCAGCAAGAATGTATCGTCCTTACTGTGTTCCTACATGGTGGAACATTGCTTAAATGATAAAAACACAAACACTTTCCTGAGAAAACAATCCTGGCGTTTCTGCCAGAATCCTTTCCCCTGCTCGGCACCTGCAGCCCAAGAAGGCGGCCACCATCCCAGCACCTGCGGGCCTAAGACCCTGCTCCTGGCGCCATGCAGGGGCAGCACAGGGTTCTGTCCAGACCATCCAGATCGGGGGTTGGTGCACATTTCTGTCAAGACCAGATAGTACTGCGGACGTTGCAGGCCCCACGATGTGCTCCTCCGTGCTGCTGTGGCAGGAAGGTGGCTGCAGCTCGCCGGCACGCAAGTGGCCTGGGTGCTCTGGTAAAACTGCCCTCATGGACACAGACATTTAAATTTCACACAATGTGTCTCTGTCGTGAATTTTCTTTTTCAACCATTTCAGAATATGGCAACATTCATGGCTCTCAGACCACACAGATTAGCTGCAGGCCAGTTTGCAAACCCCCGATCTAGATGCTGTGCTTTAGAGCTGAGCCCAGGGCGGCGTTGAGACCCAGGGCCACGGGGAGGGTGGCTCTCTCTGCCGGGCCATGGAGTACATCTGCACATACACCTGCTGTTGGAAGCGCAGCAGCACACGTGCTGAGGGTTCTGTGTGAGTGCTCCTCCCAGCACGTGACCGTTGGTGTGGATTCCTGCCTGGGGTATCTGGGATGGCTGGCCAGCATTACCGAAATGCCTCAGTCTGTTGTCTCTATTAATCTTCCCAAGAACCCTCTGAACTCAGGACCCTGGTTTATAGATGAGGAAACTGAGGCTTCATAAAAGCCTAAGTAAGTTGCTCAATCAAGATCACACAGCTAGTTAGCAGCAGAGCCAGAGGTTCAGCTGAGGGCTTTCCGACCACACAGCTGGGTTCTGAACCGCCTCACTCTGTGGGTGCATGGTCAGCAGCCCCCCAGGGTATGTGCCAGCCCACAAAGGGACCTCGGTGTCTCCACTTGTGAACAGTGTGGATGGTGTCATAGTCCCGCCAGGAGTCAGCACCTGCCTCCAACTCCTCTAAAGACCATCAGCACCACCAGTCTGTACCAGCGCGGCCACGTTCCCCACTCGGGCATGGCAGCCCTGCAAGGAGCCCATCGTCAGTGCCAGCACCGCAGCTGACTGGGCTCACACCAGCCCCACACACTCTCTCTCACACACAAACACACACACACACACACACACACACTCTACAAACACACAGCCCCACACTGCACACACTCAGACACGCACCATACCACACACACACACACACACCACACCATACACCACACACACTCAGACACACACCACACCATACACCACACACACTCACACCACACACACACACACACACACACACACTCACTCAGACATGCATCAACCATACACACAGACACACCACACACACTCAGACACACACCACACCATACACCACACACACTCACACCACACACACACACACACACACACACACTCACTCAGACATGCATCAACCATACACACAGACACACC